CAGGAACTCATTGTCCTGCAGCCACACAGGCAGTCTGGCATGGGGCAGCCCCCGCCAGCGCCCCTCCCACTGTGAAGGTAAGGGGGAGGTCAGGGACCCAGGCATCTGGACTTCCACCCACTCTGCTCTCAAACCCAGGCATCTGGGCACCAGCCTCCCCACCACCTGCTCTCATCTCCCAGCCCCCATTCCCCTCCCAGAGAACCAAGGTGTCCAGCCTGCCAGGGCCCCTTGCTCTAACACCCAAAACTCCAATCCCCACCTGTAGAACCCGGGTATTTGTGCCCCTAGCTTCCCTGCTCTCAGCCCCCTGCCCCCCACTGCCCCCCGCCAGAGAACTCAGGGGTCCAGGGCCTTGCCTTGCTGGGCCCCCCATCCTCATTGCTGGTGACATTGGCCTGGTGGGCGGGGGGCCCCATGGTGGGGGTGGGCCTGATCCCTGCCTGCCCGTGAGTGTGGCCTCCCTGCTGCCCAGCGCCACTCCCTGCTCAGCCAGTAAAGGGAGCCTGAGCAGAGAGGGCTGCTGACATCACAGTGTCCCACTGTGACATCACTGGGTGGGGAGGGAATGCAGGTATCTGGTCTCCTTTAACCCTACAGGCCCCCCTCTCCACTCCCAGAGAACCCAGGCATCTAGCTCCCAGCCCCACCTGCTCCCCCTACCTGACCCCAGTCCCCTCCCAAAGCAAGAAGGAACCCAGGGACTAGAGAGATGGAGACACCAGCTGCACCCCAGAGCTGGGCACAGCTGGGTGCCCCCCAGCCCCTCTGACCCCAGAATCTCCCAGCAGGCCCTGCATCTCAACCCAGCGCCAGAAGACACCGCAGCCCAGCCCCCGATCCCAGCCCTCTGCATCCCAAAGACCTTCATCCAGACCCCTCAAGGCCCATAAAACCCAGCCCCCCATAGATCCCAGCCTCCATACCTCAGGCCCACCCCAAAGACTCCCATCCCATCTCCCAGCCCCTTCATATACCCCAGAGCCCCCCCACGAGATCTTCCCCAGGGACCCCCAGAACCCCCATCTCCCCACACTCCTGCTTCCAGCCCCCATACTCCCTAGATCTCCCCCAGAGACTCCAGCCCCACATCCCAGCCCTCATGCCCCAGGGACCCCCTCAGACCGCCCCCCTCCTTCAGCCCCCTCACCCCTCCCAAGTGCCTGTAGCCCCATGGACCTCAGGCTCCTCCCAGAGCTTGGAGAGAACCCAGGCATGGCAATAGCCCCATCAGCATCATCAAGGCCCCACCCTTGCACCCAGCTGCGCTCCCTAATTGGCCCCAATGCCTGCCCATCAGGGCAGGATGACTGTTGCCCCACTGCTGGTGAGGCCTCGGAGAGGACTTTGGGCCCCGGCTCCTAATTCTTCCCCATCTATCTCCATGGCAACCTGAAATGGCCAGAAGGAGAAGATGGGGATGAAGAGGTCCAAGGGCCTCCTTCACCCTGAATCTGCCCCGAGGTCGACAGGGGCAAGAGATAGAACGAGGCCGCAGCCCTGCCCCGTGGTGCAGAAACTGAGTCAGGAACATTGCGCTGGGGACAAGGGGAGGGGACCCAAGAATTTGGGAAGGCAAGGGGGTGGAGGGAGACAGCTAGGGAGGGGACCCAGGAGTCTGGGGTGGGGGGGCAGAGTGTGGGAGAGAACTCAGTCATTCAGTATATTGTTGGTGTGGGGCACAAAAGCAAAGCCTGGCAAAAAACACTAGGAGCAGGTGATAGAGTTATCAATCCAAGCCGGGAAAGGCAACAGAGGGGCCAGCACCAGAAGAAGTGTTAGAGTAGCTCCCACATGGTCTAGCGGTTAGGATTCCTGGTTTTCACCCAGGCGGCCCGGGTTCGACTCCCGGTGTGGGAATGCTTTCCATTTTGGCCCTGGGCTAGGCGAATCCCAGTTGCCAGCACCCCTTTAACTTTTTAACTGCTGCAGCCCCCACTCCCCTCCTGGAGGACCCAGGCATCCACCTGCCCCCCTGCACCAATGTAACACCCACCCCTCCCGTACTAGAAAACCCAGGTGTTGGGGCTTCCCCTTCCCAGGGAACCCTGCCTCCCCAGCCTCCACTATAGACCCGGTCCTCCTCCCAGAGAACCCAGGCGTGTCGGTGTCGTCCCCCCCCAAGAAGAGCCAGGTGGTCACTTATCCCACTCTAGAAATCCCCTCCTCCCCGCAGGGAACCCAGGAAGTGGGCTGTCGGCTGAGGGCGGTGGAGTTTTGACACAGAAAGCACGGAACCCAAAGACATTGCAAACACTGTCTCCACCCTGCCCCCTCCTTCTATGTGCAGCACGGAGGTTACAGGCACCTGCTCCCACATGGTCTAGCGGTTAGGATTCCTGGTTTTCACCCAGGCGGCCCGGGTTCGACTCCCGGTGTGGGAACAGCAGGCCCTTTTAGTCCTGGGGTAAGAAAAGGGAGCGGGAGCGGGAATCCCTTGCTCTCACTCCAGGGACCTGCCCCCAGGCGCCGGCAGACAGATCAGAGGTTCTGGGTCCTGGTCGAATCCCTTCTTTGCTTAGAGCTGTTCCAGCTCCCAGCCTCCCTGAACCCTCAGCCTCCCTTCCCCTCCTGAAGCACTCAGGTGTCCAGGGTGAGAGCTTCCTTGTGACTCTCACATAGTCTATCGTTGAGAATTCTTGTTTTTTACCTGAGCAGCCCGGGTTTGACTCCCAGTGTAGAAATCCCTTGTATTTTAGCTAAGCGGGGACACCTGGGGTCTTTTGCTCTGTGCTGAAGGGGTGCTGGGGTTTGGGTACCTGGATGCCCATGTCCCCCCCTACCTCTGGATGGGGAGGGGGCTCTCTGTCAGCAGGGTGTGGGGGGAAATCTAGGCTTCGCCTCCCCCCAGGGGCTGGGGTTTGAGGTTTGGCTACTAGATCCCAAGGTTCTCCCCCTCACCATCAGTGGGGAAAGAGCCAAGGTTCATTCTTTCACCACGACCAAAAGAGAAGCTGTTCCCACACCGGGAGTCGAACCCGGGCCGCCTGGGTGAAAACCAGGAATCCTAACCGCTAGACCATGTGGGAAAGATCAAATGACACTTTGCTGGCTGTTGCCTTGTGATTCCAGAGGCCTGGTTTCTGCTTCTCAGAGAGAAGGGGAGCAGTTTCAGGAGCATAATTTATGCACTGGAATAGCTAATCCTATTTATAGTCCACTCTCTCTCACACAGACACCAAGGTATAGATAGCTTGAATGCTCACTCTCTTGCTTTCTCTCTATAGATACAAGCATGGTGTATATAATAACATGTTATTTCACATCGTTATATCATTCATGGAAAATAATACCCAATTATAACATTCTAATATACAGTTATCTGCTGTAGTGCAATATAGCCATGTTCTTATTTTATCATGCGTGTAGATATAGACAAATGTGTATATGTGTGTGTATATGTGTGTATATGCATGTACACACACAGACATATATATATATATATGTATATGTATATATATATGTATATGTATACACACACATATATATAATGGCAGCATATCTATACATAGTTCTATAATATATGAATGCCATACCTGTATAAAATAGTAATTAGAAGCTAATAGACATGGCTATATTAACATGTGCATCATTGTCATGTGTATTAATGTGTCCATGTGTACACACACACACTGATGTGATTGCTTAAAGCTTAGAGCAAATGTAATCACTATTCACACTGTTACAACAGGGGGTAACATACATTCATAATGACACTAGGTGTATCAGGGAGCC